CCCCTGGTGGCGGCTGGGATTTCCCGGGATGCCGAGGAGGGGGTTGCCTGCCACCCGCGCACCCCTGTTCTCTCCACCCCTCGCTGCTGAGGGAGCTGCGAGTGCGCGGTGGCAGCAAATCCACGTGCAGAGCGCGGAGGCGAGGAGGGGAGGGTCGCAGGGCACACTGCCTGTCTCGATGGCCCTCCCCAGACTTAGGCACCCCCTCCCCGACTTTGTAATGGAGATCCCGAGCCCACGGGGTGCGGGGATGGAAAGCCTGGTTATTTGTGGGGGCCGCGGGTGGGCAGGGGGCGTAGGGAGGTTGAGAGTCCAGGAGGAGACCCGATGACTCTTGGCGGGCGGGATGCAAGCGAGGGGATGGCAAGACTCACTCCTGCGCGGAGAGCGCCCAAACGGAAAGTTCAGAAAGCAGAGGCAGTGGTAATCCGGCCCGAGTCCCTTCCAATTTCTCCTGTGGGGCAGGGGCTCTGGGCGAGGGCGCCGCCTCCTTTGCCCCCGCTCACTCTCATTCTAGTCTGATCGTCACTCACGCTCTATTTTCCTCGCCCGGCTCTCTCGGGGGTTGACCTCCTGGTTGAGAAATAAGGGTAATTAATGATGGCTTTTCATGGAAGCCTCAGGGCGTCACACAGAACGAGGGGTCACCATGGCCAGCTCCAGCCGCGTGCTGGGGCGCTTTGCGCCCCTCGGTTCAGCCATTTCGGTCCCTACAAGTTTGCCGGAGAGCCGGTCTCCTGGGCGCGTTCCTGGGCGCACACAGCTCTCATTTATGGAGCAGGGACTAGTCCGGCGTGGGGAGCGTCATGGGAACAGCGCCCGGCGCAGGGAGAAGCCGAGCGACTGTCCAGGTGAGCCCGGAGGTGTTCCCACCGGCCCGGGAGCGGCGCCCTGGCCAACCTGTTGGATAGACACCGGGCGGAGTGGGGAGGAGGGACGGGGACTCACCGGCGGTCCGGGCACATCCTGGAGGCGCCAGTGGGCGCCGCTGGTTGGGTAGCTGTGCTTGACTCTTCTGGTCTCCACGTGAGGTCCGACTTGACCCGTCCTGGAGGAAAACTGTGCTCTCAGCCGCGCGCTGGAGCTCGTTGCCTCGTCTCCACCCGCCACCTGCTCTGTCCCCTTGGCTAAGGCAGCGAGTGGCCGCCCCCACCCTCGCTCGCTCGCTCTGAGCCGTTTGCGGTCCCCAGCACCAGTTGTGGGGGATGCAGGGAGCTGAGGGAGGTGAGGCGGGAGGAGGAAGTGAGGCGGTCTGTGACTGAATATTATATTCATCCTGAAGTCACTTCAAGGATCACCGCATTAGGTTCCGGTTTCCCTGAAGCTGCGTGCTCCCAAATCCAGGGAACAAAAAGAACAAAAATTTCTACTTGCACAAGTCTGCTAAAACCAGGGTTAAGGCAGTTATGACATTAACTGCTTGGTGTGGCATGATTCAAAGTTTTTTCATTCCAGCAAGCACTTGGGAGTACTGCTTCTCCCCCGCCCCCCCCCAAAAGTCTTTGCAAGAGGGAATGAACCACATTCATTTCCCCCTGCCCCCTTGTAAATAGTTTTAGAAAATCTATACAAAGAAGAGATGAGCAGGAGGCTTGACACACTCTGAGAACTGCTTCATAGATTGACTTGAGATGTGGCTGTTTAGTTCTGGCATTGCCAGCTGGCTGTGGGGACGCCAAGGGCCTCAGTGCCTTCCTCACTAAAATGTCAGGTTTTGATAAAACACCCAGTATTTATTGAGTGCTTATTTTCTGCCAGGAAATTTTAGGTCATTTACTCATTTAGTACCTTTTTTTAAAAAAAAATCATAATAACAATACCCGTATACCCATTTTACAGAAGGGGAAACTGAGACACAGAATAATAATTGGGTCAGTCATACAGTCCAAATTCAAACTCAGGATGAATTGTCAGAGGCTGCCCTCATGAACACAATGCATGGGACGGATCATTTTCGTGTGTTTTTAAGTAAAATCGAAGTGTGGTTGCATTTATTTATTTATTTATTTGTATCTTTCCCAATATTACCCAAATGTTTTTTAATTTCCATTATGTACTAGGCACTATTTAGGTCAGATAGATCCATGAAGAAAACAGGCAAGAGTTCATAGTTCTGTTGAGCCGTATTCATTACTGTGTGTGAATACCTTTAATGAATGATTAGCAATAATGGCTGCCCTAGCTTTACAGACTGTGGGGAGGAAGGGGGAAACCTTGCAGAGGAGGATGACAGCTCTGGGTGAGAAGGGAGGGCTTGGACAGGTCGCCAGAGGTAGGGAGAGATGACTACTGTGTGTGAATACCTTTAATGAATGATTAGCAATACGGCTGCCCTAGCTTTACAGATGGTGGTGAGGAAGGGGGAAACCTTGCAGAGGAGAATGACAGCTCTGGGTGAGAAGCCAGGGCTTGGACAGGTCGCCAGAGGTAGGGAGAGATGAGCGAGGCTTGCAGGCCTCCTGCACTGCACCTGGCCTTCAGTTGTGATTAGTGGTGTCCTGTAGAAGTAATTTTGACAATCAGCACTCCTTAAGTGCAAGGCCAAGGCTAAGCATCTGATCACATCACAGGGATCCCAGTAGGCACTGCCATCCTCCGTTACAGATCTCAACTCAGAGGCTCACGGGCACTAAGTAACTTTCCCAGTGGCACAGTGAAAAGGTGAAGGAGTGCACGAAGGGATGAAAACCAGTGTCTTTCTGATTCCAGATTTCATCTCAAGTGCTAGGGTCCTAACATTTTCACTTGGGCTTTAATTATTGATGAAAACAATTTCCACTAATGAAAACAATTATAACAAGAGCGATAATGACTCGTTAACTGGGAGCGTATAAATACAAATGACCCAGTTTAAAAATATAGAGTCTCTCGGGTAACAGAAATCCCTGCCTTCTTCCCTGCCCAATTCCCTTTAATTGATTTTCTCTCTACTTCCTCATTGATTGGCCAGGTTTGAGGCAGAGAGCCTAATGAAAAGGATGTGATAAAGAGGGAAGAAAGTCTATTCAAAGGATAGCCTTCCTGCTGTTTGATCTTGACCTGAAATTTACCCGAAAGTATGTCAAGAAGTGAAATGAGAATTGCTGCTAAGTAGCTAGGGGTGATGAGGTCTTGCTTTTGCTTTAGTTCCTCTACAGATTGGGAGGAATGTGATTATCATGTAGGAGGCAGCACAGTACTGAAGTGTAAAAACTCCACAATCTAATGGCTTTGGGTATATTTCCCTAGTCACCAGATATCATATTCAGGTGATTTCCATTAACAGTCTTGTTATGAAATGCTCTGCTGTTATTTGGCTTTATTTATCAAGTCTTTGAACTATCAAGTTGCATATTAAATCGTCACGTACAACTACTGTTTTTGATTCTTCCAATTTTTATGAATATTTCTAAATTTATTGAACAACATTTATTCTTAACAGTCATGTTTTAAATTGGATTAAAACAAAAAAAAATCACAGCATACTTTAAATGTGACTCGCTTGATGATAATTATGAAACAAAAGTTAAGAGTCATTTGTGTACGTTAGAAACTCCTTTTATTAAAAATCTAGAGCAGCCCTGGCTGGTGTGATGTCAGGTGTGACCCCTTGCACCAGGAGGTTGCCAGTTCCATTTCTGGTCAAGGGCACAGGTCCAGATCGTGGGTTACATCCCCGATGCCTAGGGGGCCTGCAGGAGGCAGTCAATTGATGTTGTGCTCTCACATCTATGTTTCTCCCTCTCCCTCCCTCTTTCTCTAAAAAATCAATTGACTATTCTTTTTAAAAAAATCTAGAGCATTTTATTTGTTCTTGAAAAAATAATGAGAATGTGTTTATATTAATATTATAGTATCCTTTTCTGTGATTTGTTTAAATATGTTATGATGTTTCTGT